AAATATTCAGCATCCTTGTTCTTAAAGAAGATACATGCTATGGCATGACAACATGGGACCCCTAACATGTCCCATTTCCTACATGTGCACTTCTTTTCCTCTAAATCTACTTTGAGTTGGTCAAGGAAATGCTTCACATTGAACATTGTATCTGAAGAAGGTAAAACATCACATAATGCAGCCTTACTTTTTTCCATTTCTAATTTGGCTTGGGTTCTAGGAAAAAGAATAGAGGTTGACTTTTGCATTTCTTGTCTTTTAGTCACTAACCTTTACATCAAAGCCACTCTGATGTCCTCTAACTTATATATCAAATGTTTTGTTCTGGCATTAATAATGTATGAGTTGAATGTTTCAGCCATATTAGATGTTATTGCATCTGTTTTAATGTCAGAATTCAAGTAAGCTCTACAATAGAGTTTTGGTTATATGAAGTGAAAGTTGTGGTAGCATCTGGATTTAATTGTCTCAACTCCTTAAAATACTCATTATAATATGCCAAGTTGTAGGATTAGCAATTTTCCAGAATTGTAGTTTCATTTCATCTTCTCTAAATGATTTATGCCATAATGAAAAAATGTGTCTAGCACAATGACGATGCTCAGCTTTTGGTAGGACTGACGCAACAGCATGAATAATAGCCTTGTAAAACACAAAAAAAAAAAAAAGCATACTTAAACATACCAATCAATACTCTTTTCAACTACAGATCACCAAACATACATAGAGACAAATTAAACCAATATCTACTTGAGCAAATACATATCACCAAAATAAACCAATAAGTTCTTAAACAAATAGAGATCATCAAACAAAACCAACATTAACTAGTAGCAATTTACTAAGTATGGTTTAGTGTTTACCTGGTGCTCATCTGATATAATAGCAATCCTAGTGCCATCACCTAGCTCCAAATAGTTTGAAATAGGGTGATAAGCCATGTCCAAGATGAGTTGTTTTCACCTTCAGCTGCTGCCCATGCTATTAGGTACATTTGTTCATTAGGATCCCTGCCAACATCACTTGGAATTTGCCCACCAAGGAAGGTCTTTAAGAAAATTGCATCCACATAGATGACTTTTCTACAGCCTTCCTTCCAACCTTGCTTAACTCCTTCAAACAGGTGTAGAGTCTTCTAGAAAAAAGGTGGATTTGTCTGCTTGGAAGTATCCACCACCAACTGAATAGTTGTTCCAGGGCTTAACTCCTTGACAACTTGTACCTCTCAACTTTCATATAGTGTTCCTTCATGGAGCCATGGAGCATTCTATGTGCATGGTATTTGACTTTGTATGCAAAGTCCCAATTGACAATAACCTTATAAGCTCTCCTAATTGCTTTAATGATTTACTTAGCTAGCTAGTGAGGCCTAACTTTAAAAACCTCCAACATTTCTCTTGCAACCCAAGTTGATTTGAGCTGTATGTTCTTGTTCATATTCCTATGGCAAGTGTGACTGCCATCCACTCTCTTCACCAAGAATGTATCATTCCTGGAATGCCATGCACCATACAAATAAAAAGGACACCTTTCTATACATCTTACTCCTACATGCTGCTGCATGTTCTTGTTACTCATAACAAAGCTCAAATCCCTGCCCTGCATAATTTCATACTTAGAAACAGCCTGTTTAAAGTCACTCCTATTTGCAAATCTTTGACCTACTACCCAAGTGAATGTAGAAAAATCAGTCTCACCATTCACAAGCATACTTCTCCTACCCTTCCTTCTTGCTCCAGAATTTTCATCATCACTATTTTCAGGTGTGTGAATCTCATCTTCACTGTTTTCATACTCACTAACATAACCACCAGCACCAGATGTTTCAGCAGCACTTTCTGGTTTACCCTCTAGTTTTTTTGGACCTCCAAAGCTCCCTTCACATGCCTCTCTTTGAAGTTGACTTGCTATTTCAAGGATCTGGTTGTTGCAATTTGTAACTCTCTATCTAGCTAGTTCAACCTCTTCATCACTGTTGTCTGACTCACCGGTGACCAAATCAACCCTATCAAGACCCTCATCAACCTCAAAGTAATCATCTTCTACCTCCAGTTCAACATCAATTCCTTCATCATCTTGCTTCTCGTCAGGCACAAACTCTAGATCTGATACATCCTCAGATTTAGTACTAAAACCACAAAGCTCCTTAAGGGTCAGTGGACTTTCTGGCCTACTGTCTTCCCACTCATACTTTAGGAATGAATATGTGTTCTCACCACACACATGAGAAGGAATTGTTGGTTCTTGGTTGAGGGTTTGTCATGCAGTTTCAAAGTTGGAAATAGGGTTTGTAGTAGTGGATGGTTGAGTCAAAGTGTTGTTATCAGCATGTGTTGAAGTAGATGCTTTTGAGCCAACTTTTTTGGTTAAAGTGGGACCAGCCAAAGAAGCTGATGTTGTTAAATTGGATTCCATGTGTTTTCTGGGGCTTCTTCTAGGTGGGCCCAACTTTAGTGAATGTGGACCCTTTTTGAGTTAATTTTTTAGGCTCAGTTGGTTTGGGAGGTGGGATATTTTCTGAAATTGGTGAGCTAATGTGTTTTGGGCTTGAGTAGCTAACAGAAGGAGTTGGGTTTTCTGGTGACAAGTGTGGCTCTTTAAGACTATGCAACACATACACATCAACACTCCTATGCTTCATCACTATCTCACCCATTTCTAAGACTTCTGCATCCCCTGATATCTTTCTTAACCTATCTGCTAAAGACATCCCACGAACTAAATAATATAGCCCAGCAATGTTACTATAATCCCCACATTTCTTTCCAAAGTGAACTAGTTCCCAATAACATAATTCATTAGGAAAAACCTGAAATGTCCTTCCCTTACCACCCATGTATACTAACTCTCCATTACCGACATGCTTAAATCTACCCCCATGCCAATACCTCAAGTCACATTCTCAAATAACCTATTTTTGCTCATTATCACCTAAGATTAAGCACATTAACCAACAATATCATCACACATAGAACAGTAATAAATCGCATCAACAAAAAACCCCAAATAAAACCTAAATTTAGCTATCCAATTACAGTTGAACTACAAGAAATCAAACACCTCCGACAAAACCAAATTATGATACAACAACCATAATCAAACAAATTAATTTCACACATTTAATTCCCCCAAATATCAAACATTCATAATCGAAGCAGTCTAGAAAACCCGAAAAAATGAAAGAAGAACAACAAAAGTGGTGAGTTCGTACCTTAAATTAAGCAACTTTAGGGCGATTTCCGATGCAATTCATAGCTTCTGATTTCTTTCCTGATTTGCCTTCGTCACTCTGTAATTGGTACGAATTTAGGTGAGCTTGAATAATAGCGGAAGAGTTAGAGCAGTAAGGTTTGGGTAGTTGGATTAATTAATTGCCAGCTGTGTAATTTGGGAGGGAAATAAAGGTCAACTGATTTTTTTTTACTATTGACTTATTAGTTCTAGGTTGCCAGTTTTTTCACCTAATTAAAACAGATTAGCACTAAAAGTGGTATTATTTAGAGATAATCAAAAGGTCGACTTGTTTTTAGCGGACCGTGAAAGGTGGTATTATTTATGATAATTTTTCCTTAATTTAATTCTAAATAAAATTAAATAGCATGAATGATAATCAAATGACAAGTGTCAACACACAAGAGAGAGTAGGTGGGAGAACCACCTTGACCTTGAAGAACAAGGAAAAGGGTTGCCCTAACCTAGTCGGTCAACAAGGACAGATGCCCGGCCTTGCAAGGCCAACCACGCTTCCAGCCCTGCGCCACAAGGCTAGACCTGCTGGCCCCCTTGCCGCAAGCCCACACCAGCTGCCACAGACCCACACGCATACATCATTCCCAACAATAGCAGCGTGGCATTAGCAGCAGCACCACAAGCGTCAGCCTTACTGCTGGCCTTGCTAGGCAGGCCTAGCTAAGGCTGCCTTGGTGCGCAGGCCACTAGGCCGCCCTAGCCAGCCCATAAGCAAGGTCAGCCTAACTGGGCCTTGCAATGGCTGCGGTGGCTCGGTGGTTTAGTGCTTGCAGCTCTTAGTCACTTGCCTTCGATATGAGGCATGACTAGGCCTCGTTCTATGCTTGAAATTTTTAGCACGATATGTTATTTGATTATTTTCTCATCTCGTCGACTCCTACAGTTGTCTCTACTTGCAACGTTTGGGTTCAACTTTCTAAGCCCGGAATCCGACGTTTGAGTTCGTAAAACCTCTATCGACTTATTTAATCCTTCAGATTAAATCATCGTCGTTGTTCGGTTATGCGATTGGGTGTTGCCCGAAGGGTTCAGTCAAGAGCAAGCTGTAATATTAGTTATACATTAATATTACTAATCGGAATCAACCTCCAGCTAGACATTCCGATCACTTGATATCACTGAATAATTAGCTTTCCTAATTAATTTCGGACCCTGTATCGGAATAATACATTTGTTCGAAGGACACTACTCCTTTCAATCTCTCATTTGTCCTTCCGGATAAGTGTGTTGTATGTGCATACTCTTTTTCCTATGTTACTTAATGCCTCTTCATGAACTATAAGGTAAGATTCATCGTCATCCTTATTACATTCAGAAGTGTTTTTTGATTTCCAAGTTCGACTTTCAAGAGCAGATGATTTCTAAAATCCATCTAAGCACAATCGGCATTTTCACAGCCTTGCTCTTCGAGAGGCCTTCACTAGTAGAAAAACTTAAATGGGCACCGCCAAATTCGCACCGGTTTTAAAAAACCGGTGCGAAAAAAAAAGTCGAGATTGAGCGAAAGAGTTTTCGCACCGGTTCTTACAAAATCGGTGGGAAAAGTGAGTAAATTGCAGCGGTTTGGTTCGAACCGGTGCGAAATCTATTGTTAAATATAAAAAAAAAACCCGGTCAATCTTCTCTCTTTCTCTTTCATTTCCTCGATATTTCCTCCTCTCTCATCTGCCTCTCTCTCCTCCATTGAAGAGTACTTGAAATTCTCCATTGAAGGGGCTTCTGAGCTTTCTCTCAGCACTTTCCTCAAAGTCCTTCGATCTCCTTCTCCATAACCGCCACTTTCCCTTTCCTTTCTTCTCTCTTTCGATCTCCTTCTCCTTCTCTGTCCGAAATTGGCTCAAATCAAACATGGTCGTATTCTCTGCTCCTTCAATGTTCCTCAACGTCTCCTGGTTCATTTCTCTTTCTTCAATTGTTATGATAATTTTTGCTGGGTTTTGTAATTAGGGTTTCTAATTTGACTCTGAATCTCTGAAATTGTTTTTGGGATGATATTGTAGAATACTGCGAATACTCTTCATGGTGGGGGTTGAGAAGGCGTGTCCTTGTGGATTGGGGATTTGTTTGGTTCTTACTGCTAATACGGAGCGTAATCGCGGTCAGAAGTTCTTTCGTTGCCCTAATCGTCAGGTTTGTGAGTTTATTTCTAATTATGGATTTTGATTTTGTGAGTTTATCTTCTTTTATATAATTTATTTACATTCAATCAATTATGAAAATATTTCATTATTTAATTTTTGTGGGCATTTGATTGTTAAAGTTATCTGTTCTTGTAAATTGTTCAATAATTATTTTCAGCATTTGAAGTACACAACAATGATTTATAGAGTTCATATGTTTTGGGTTTTTTTATTTTATTTTTATTTTTTTATTTGAGGGGAATGGTATAATTTAAAGGGTCATGATAGTTTAAGGTGCATGAAGATACTAAGTACTGATTAAATCTTCCTTTAATAAACTAATTGACATTGAAATTCTAAATATGACCCAAATTATTACATTTTTCTGTAATTTTTCTGTCTGAAAGGGTCATGATAGACAAATTATTACATTTTAGCTTGACATGGCCAATGATTTAAGATATGCACTTTTAGTTTGGTCTTGTGTATTGTGTTGAAATGATTTAATGATGGTATAAACTGTATATTGCTTAATGTTTTGCTTATAGATGGTTATGGCAATCTCGGCTCGTGTGGGAGGAGAGGACTCATTTTCCTTTCTGTCACTCTACCTTCTTTATTCCCTTTGGAAGAATATGTCAAAGATTTCAATGCTGAAGCAGAAGAGTGAGTAAATGTTCTCCTGGTGCTTTTGGGTCTGTTTATTCCATCTCCATGTTTTAGCATAATATTGATGTTTTAGCATAGTTTCGGGGTCCTTTTAGTAACTACTGAAAGGTGTGCTTTCAAGCCTGAATTTTCCTGCCTCAACTTTGTAAACAAGTACATGTTAGAATTTAATGCAAAAAACTACCTTAAATGACCAACTTTGATCCAGTACTCCACTATATGCATGCTTTTGATTCACTTGAGTATGTCCTCTCAATGACAGAATTTCAGAAGCTTCTGATTCTGTGGAATTTTAGAATGGTTTGAACTTAAAAGCAATGTTATGAATTTATGATATCAAATATTCTTAGTACATGTATTCCATCCTTAATTTAATTCATCATTTTGGATTCACGGGATCTGTTTAACTTTTTTTTCTCTCAACTTTATGATATATATAAAGGTTGGGAGCTCCTGATTACCTACTTATAAAGGATGAGATAAGGAAGGTTTTGTCCAATGGAAAGGCTGCTGGTGTACTTCGTCTCGTGTTTCATGATGCAGGAACCTTTGAAGTTGTGATAATCTGATGAAAATAGGTTGAATTAGCGCATGTTGATGTGCTAAATGAAATAGTAACATTTTGTTTGCAATTCTGATGATTGTGTATCATGAATTAACTAATTTTTGGTTCCTAATGATGCTTAGTCTACTGAGTGTTGTGTACTTTTACTTGTAAAGTTAGAGTTGAATGAGTCTTTTGTATAAAACCTGTTGAATGTTTTGTTTGGGAATTATAGTAATTGTAGTGTTTTGGCTCTTGGATAACTGAAAAATTTGTAGAATTTACTTCTTTTATGGGGATGGGACTTAATCTTTGTCCTGTTTTGTTTTATCTCATTATTTGCTGAGGCTGAATGAAGAAGCATCATCCAGAGGCATCCATCTTTTGTCAATTAAAGAATCACTCATCATATTCGGGCATGCTTAGACTAAATTGAATATCTTTTTATTTGTTTGCTATGAAAATAGATGATACAACTAGTTAGAGAAAAGACTGTTTAACCTCTATGACCCTGGAACTGGCAGATTTTGTATGGTGTTAGATTGTTATATCACTTATATGCATGTGTAGGTTGTTGAATTTGTTTGATTTTAGGTTGTTTGTTTGCTAGCCTTGTATCATGTATGTTCACATATTTGCTTGCATTAAGGCTGTACATTGAATGTTGTTGCTTGTTATTACCTGCCTTCTCTATGTTTCCTTGAAATTAAACTTTTGTTTTTCTTATTGTTTGCAGGAATGTCAGTCCTTTTGAATATTGTGATATTGTTACATCCACAACTCATAAGAGTTTGTGAGGTCCTAGAGGAGGTATAATATTTTTTAGGAAGGGCAAGAAACAAAGGAACAGAAGCTTGATGAATCCGTCTGAAGACAGTAAGCAGTATGATTTTGAGGATAAGATAAATTTTGCTGTCTTCCTTGTTTTAAAAGGTGGTCCGCACAACAACCACATAGTTGCTCTTGCTATAGCTTTGAAACAGGTTGCTACCCTTGAGTATAAAGCATACATGCAACAAGTTAGGAAAAATGCTCAGGAATTGGCATCGGCATTATGCGAAGAAAATGTCGGCTAATAACTAGCGGCACAGACAATCACTTGCTCCCCAAATGAGCAATCTCAGTGGCAAAGTTTCAAAGGAAAAAGTGAATGACAACTTCCCACCAAAGTGAGTATTACTGCAGGAAACCTTTACCCATGGATGATATTATATTGAATTTTTTTTGGCACCTATAGCGCCTTTCCATGTTATTTTTTGCATTGGTTTATGTCTGATGGTTTGAAGGAAACTTTTGCTACCTCTTTTGTTCTGTCAAACCCGAATTTCACCTGTCATTTATTCTTCTTGTTTAGTGGTCAGACTAGGTGTGGTATCTATTAGGTTGAGGTCAAGAAGTCAGCAATGGTTGAGGTTTTTCTTGGATGCTCTTGCCTCTCGGCATGATTATTGAAAATTAGCTGAATTAGATCTTTTAGTTACGACTCTATGTTGTTGTTTGCTTTAATCTCAGCTTCTCAGTGGTTTAGGAACTATGATAAATATGTTGTTGTTTATGCTGTTTAATCATTAGAGTGTGATGTTAGATTTTTACCAGTTTAGTGTGATAGTTATTAAGCCAGAAATGTATAGAGTTTGTTTAGCTGAGAGCAATGAAGTGAGAGTGCAACATGTTGCTGATCTTATCTATCTCAAATCACTCGAACTTACCAATGTATGGCTAAAAGCTATGTTACATGGACCTAGGAACAGGTGTCGGACACGGACACATGTCCAACTGTAAAAGTCACTTAAATTTATATAAATAAATTACATATTACATTAGCTTTGAATTTTTCATTACGTCCACCCCTATTTTTTTAATCTTAATTCTTTCCTCGGTAAATTATCCTAATAAATGACAATCTTCTTCCCTCCATCTTCCCTTTATCAATGGTGGTCTTTGAACAAGATGTGTTTTTCTTTCATGTTTCTCCTCTTTTTTCCTCTCCACTCTTAATGGAAGTGTCCGAGTGCACTGTGTAGGGTCGGACACGTGTCCGTGTTGTGTCGTGTTGACACGGATACTTCACGATTTTAGCCGTGTCCGATTAACATAGGCTAAAAGTATGCCTAGTATTTGTTTACTTTGGGTTATGATCATGATTTGAAGCTCTTACATTGTTTAGGGTGCATTTGAGCAGATCCATTACGCCCATGTAATTTATTAGGACAAGATAGCATACCAGTTACATGTTGCTTCATAATTAAGGGGAACAAAATGGGTTTCTTAAGTTGCTTTCTCTCTAACATGATGTGTAATTCAATATTCATACCTTCTTAATTGTCGTGCTTAACTGAAATGGTTTGGTGATTCTAACTGAATAACAATTGCTGCAAACACTGAATTCTGAATGTGTGTTCTATTGCCTTTTCTTTTACTTACATTCATATCTTATAGATTTGGGTGTTTTATTTGCCATATTTGTTTTGGGGGGGTTGGGGTGAGGCTGTTTTTCTTAAACTGAGATCGTGCAAGTTGCCTCAAATCTCTATTCCTCCTGCTTGTTTTCTTAGGCTGCTGTTTTATCTGTTTTTTGCTGCTGTCATGGTTTTCTGGTCAGGGTTTCAACTTGTTTGCCCTGTTCTGTGCTGGTGCCTGACTTGTTGGTGTTGTGTTGCTGTGTTTCTTGTTAGTGGTGTGTGTTGTTGTGTTTCTTGTTCAGGCTGTTAGGATGCCTGGTCTGAGCTTCTGTCAGTGCTGCTTTGCTGACAAGTTGTTGTATGTTTGTGCTGCTGTTGCACTGTTGTGCTGTTGGCCTGCTGGTTTGACAGCTCATGTTGGGTCTGGTGCTGGCTGCCTAGCCGTGGTGTAGCTTCTGGTTGCTGTTTTGCTTGTAGCTGCTGTTGGGGTTGCTGGTCGTGGTGTGGCTGTGCTGTCTCATTCTCTGTTGCAGGCTTGGGGTCAGTGGGAGCTGCTGCAGTCTGCTATTTTTTGTCTTAGTTTTTATTCTATTTATTAAAGATGTAGTGCTCTTTAATGATGGTTAGGAAGGTACTCTATTTTTATTGACTTTGTGGTATATGCTGCCCTCATTGCTTCATTATGCATTTCTGAGCTTGATTTTTCATGTGATGATGATAAAGCTCCATCAGATGTATGACACAAATATTGAAGAAAATATATGTGTTTTATGTATATTATGATTATATACAAGTATTTGGTACAGTTTAAGTGAAAAAAATGCAAAAAAAAAAAAAAAAAAAAAAAAAATATTTTTTTGGGGCACTTTTGGCACCGGTTTTGGAAAACAACCGTGCTAACAGTTTTTTTAAAATATTTTAGGAGACTTTTGGCACCGGTTCTAAGATAAAACCGGTGCGAAAAGTTTAGTTTTTGGCACCGATTTTCCCCAAGAACCGGTGCGAAATGTATGGGGTTTTAGCACCCCCCAAATCCCCACCGGTTCAAAACCGGTGCTAAATGGGGGGTTTGAACCGGTGGAGATTACGTATTTTCGCTTAGTGCTTGTAAACAACAAAGACATGTTTCCTATTGTTAATAGAAGTATATTCCCAGTCTTGAATTTTAAAGCTTCCCTTACTAAGAGGCCCTAGCCGGCTGAGTGTTCACTTTTTAATCCCCTTCTACAGCAGACGTTTGACAACATCAAAAAGGACTAGTACTCAAACAAGAGAACTTACAATACTCATGGTTGAGGAAAAAAGGTTCCGATAGCTATAATAAGTAGTATACTTATGACGATTGTTAAATCTCTTAAAGTATTCTCATAGGTCGATCTAGTATAGTTCCAAACTACTACCTGTGCAAATGATTTATGACAATTATGTCCTTGTAGCACAAGAAACGGTGCTATAAATCATACTACACACTAATCTTGCGCAGTCATTAGTCTTTCAATCTTTCAAATGACCTCGATTAGGGATAACTTCGATGTGACATTCAATGTTCACTTAATAGGTGATTCTTTATCCAAGACATTGTCTTGATACCCTATTTTAAATGTCGTCAAATCGAATTAACTCATAATTTAATTTTAAAGCACAATTAAATAGTTTGTGGAATAATTAGTAAATTTTCGTAAGTTAAGTAGTTTGTGGACTCAATGTTTCATCTTATGATAAATTGTTTTCCCAAATGTTTTAAGAGTAGTACTCTTTACAAAACATTTATAGAAATCAGACCCATATTTAATATGCTTGATTTCTTTTGTGCAATTGTGAATGTTGTGGTTCACTTATTGCATAGGTTTAGATATCATTACTTTGCAAATCTTAGCATCTTCATTGTCGAACACTTTCATATTAAGATGATAAAATTTGAGTGTGTTATGGATTACATTGATCTAGGATTTATTGCTCAAGTGATGGCTCCTACTCATTTTCATGATTTGAGACCTTCAACTTGGAAACCTATAATCATCAAAGTTCAACAACGAACTATCCATTGAAAAACATCTCTTATATTGCCTTTAAGGCAACAATATTCTCAACATATATTTCAGTAGATTTTCTAATGATGCTTTGCTTAGATTTTACCACAGCCAGTTCACAATGATTTGGGATCATTTTTGATTATGGAAACTTACCTTAAATTGCCGCACATTACACATGGATGCAAGCCCATGTTGCCATTCTCAAGTCACGACGCATCTAAGCTCGTGCTTATAAATGGCTTCCTCATTAAGGATCTAATCCTTGTTAAGGTTGTGCTCGCAACATCAATACTCAAATTATATTTTTTTTCCATGTATCAAGAACTCATCCTTTTACTTAACCAAGAACTTTGGATGTTCTTGATCATAATTTAACGTTCTATTATTTAGATTCAACTCGATTGGTACTTTATGCTTGTCATGCTCTAAGCATGCAAGTCATATGACAATTTCATATAGTAGCATACATGATGGATTCAATTGTAGAAATATTCCCGATTTCATCCCATTCATGTGACTTCTAGCTCATCCAGTTCCACTGAGTCTTGCTAAACTGTTTACTATATGATACGGTTGAAAGTCTCAACTAGAGTCTTTCCTATTTGATTTAGTATTTGCCTAGCTTATACATAGTTCAAACATTTTCTTAGTTTTATACATATGGGTCGAAAGCCTTTTTAGGTCCCTCATGTTTAACACGGTAAATTCCTTTACCTGTTCAAACATTTCATTAAGTCTATTAAATAGATCTTAATTCCCACTATGTACTAAGTGTCATCTTAGCTAGGTCCATTATTGAAAAATTCTTTCAAATCTAAGCATTTAGCATTTGATAATTATTTTACAATAGAGTTCTTAAACTTCTTATTGGACCTTACAAAATTGACTTTAGCTCCCACTAAACTTCTTTATTCAAAGAATTTCCATGTTTCTCAACAAGCCAAATCTTATATTAACTTTATGAGAAAACACATTCCAATTCCTACATGCTTCCCTCAATCCACCAATGGATTTCTTGAGCTTCCGTTCAAATATATCATTATTTAGATTTACAAAACCCTTAGACTATATCCATAGTCTCTTCCAAAATCCCATTTTTAGTAAGGCGCTTTCGATATCTATTTTTTCATATTTCATATGCGCAATTTTGCTAGAATAATCACGAAAAGACTTAAGCATTCCGATTAGTGAATAGGTTGTAATAAATCAACGCCGTGAATTTAATTGTAACCTTTTCAACCAATCTAGCTATGTATACATATACATTTCCATATTTTTTAGTTTTCTCCTTGAAAACTTATTTGCGATTGATGGGTCTTTACCCTTCATGCAAATTAATCAAGTTTCAAACATGATTTTCAAACATGGATCGAGTCTGTTTCGGATTTTATGGCCTCTAACCATTTCCGGAATTCGGATTTGTCGTAGCTATCTTACAAGACACTATTCCCTTACTATCTAATAATAAATAGTATGCTTGTAAGTCTTAGGTTCATTTCTTACTTAATTAAAACTTTACAAGATACAATCCAAGCCATTTGGTGAATTCTATACCTATACGGGGTAATTGCATCAAACATTGAGTTTCAAGGCGCTTCTAAAGCCCTTTGATTGTTTTGATCTTACTCCAACACTCTTAAAGTTTTGTAAGTAATGAGTTCTCTTTAACGCACTTGTAAAGTCCTTTGAGTTTTCTTGATAAATGATTCTCATGAAGCCTTTCTAAAGTATTCTGAGATTCTCAATTCTGGTTTGTTGCTCGTCTCAATGGTCATCGAGTTTATTTTCCTCCCACTTGTTGTTTTGGAAATGTGTTACTTTCCAGAAAGACACCACTTAGAGCAAAGAGTACTATGTTCTCAATTTTGGTTGTGGAAGTAATGCCCCTATTCTCACTTAAATGCTTACAAAGAGACTTGTATATTGTCTTTGGGTAAAAGTTCGTAGTGAAATAAACAGTTAGCTCCCACTTGAGCTAACTTAGCTCTTATTGAGCCACTTAGCTCCTACTGAGCCAATGAGCTCCCACTGAGGCTAAAAGCCCTAGACATATACTTTAAAAGACGCTAGAAACTATTTCTATCCATAACTGAATATGGTGTCTTTTCTTAGCTTCGACAATTTTGTTTAGTGTAATATTAGTCAATTGTGCATATCTCTAAGAACGTTATAGGAACGGATGTGATTCATCATCGTTCGAGTCATTTCCAAATGGCTTCGAGGTCTCCGTCAAGATATACTATATTCTTTGTGGAGTTTATTAAGAAATTCCAATTTCATAAACTTGAGATGATCACTCTTGGCTCAAGCAAACATCGCTTGATCTAATCTAGATATTTTGATATCTTGCCAATTTGATTCTATACTTCAACGAACTTATGAGCTACACAAGATCCAGTTTGTTTCATATTAGCCATATTCCTTCAAATTCTTGTGAAAACATTGAAGTAATGGAAGCATCTTTAACTTTTGGAGTCAATTGTCTATATCAAGAACAATAGCTCCTTTCTTTGTCGATTTCAACAAGTAAGACTTGCTTGCCTTAGAACGATGCTGAATTGATCAACTTTCAAGAGTCTATCTATTAGAGCTTTAAGTGCGTTCTTGTCGATGTGACATTGCTAAGGATGTTCGGAACATAGATCATGTCCATGACTTGAACCTTGTGAGTTTTCATGTTAAAGAAATGTTTGTTTATAATCAATCATCTTTGACTCATGGCTTAAACGACCATGCTATTCAAATAAAACCAACAACTATTTTTATTTTACTTTGAATGTGAGTCTTTCAGTGTATAAATAGAACGTTTGCTGATTATGGAACACAATAACCATTATTTGTTCCAGCCTTAACTTTAAAAGTTCTTTAAACAAAGCAGATGACCTTACAGCTCATGTAGCACCACTTGCTTCATTTCAAGCTCGTAAGTCAATAACTTAGCTTAACTTCATTTGTTTTGAGGTCACTTCTGAATTGGAACTCTCAAGAAATATCTAATACTTGTGAAGATAAGTTGCTAAGCGAACTACGATAACATAAACTCATAGGTAGAATTAGAATCTTAAATTCCTTTTCTTTGTTTCTTCTTTCCTATATCTCTTATTATACATTGTCTCATAACTTTAAGAACCACTTCTTTAAGTGTTTTGACTTTTAAACTTTGTTAGGCATAATTAAGCATTAAAGTGTTGTAAAACAAAGGTCCATCTTTTCCTTTAAATCGTACTTGAATTACTTCATCACTGAGTCCTACTCATTAGTGTATAAAGCGAAAAGATATGTTGGTTGTCAACTATTGATAATTTTAAAACTTAATACTTCATGTTTATCAAAACTACCTAGTATTTTGAATACATGATGTCCAACCTTCCTTTCGAACTTAGCCATAAAAGTCATTTATGAGAAGTTGTATTTTGGAAATGCGCTTTCGTCCTTTGTGAACCATTCTCAAATGATTCCTTTTACCAATCATTGGAAACATTATAATTCGATTTTAGAATTCTACAAATATAAGTGCAAAGTATAACCATTTATCAAGATAACATAATAAGCTTTGAAATACTTGTAAAACTAGGAATTTCAATAAACTAATTAACGCTTTATTCAATTTAAATTTGTCCCATATGATTGAATAAAACGATTCCAAGATCCTAAAAATCAATAAGTATGGTATTCTTGGAACATATTACGTATAATTGATTTGGTATATAGGGAGAATAGTAGAGATCATCATAATAGTTAG